ACTTTATTGTAAATTATTGTAGAATAAGAGAAGAAAGATATCAATTAAAATTTAATACTATCCAAACCTACTTATTTTGTATAAAAATATTAATTTGTATCCAAGTCTGACTTTGAAGCACAGTTTTTTGCCACATAAAATTTTGAAATGTGAGAGCGTGTTACTTAGGCTCAACGGTATCCTTAAATTATATATAGGGGTGAATATTGTAGGTTGCAAATTCCAAAAATATATAGAGTATAAGTTGTATCCATTGGTTTTTTTTTTTTTACAAAATAAACATCCCAGATTGGGATGGGGGGTTGAGGCTACACCCCCGACCTGTGAATATAATGGCCCAACTATGGCTAAAAAGTCAATGGTCTACATCCAAGTCGGAAATACATAGAGCAACATCAAAAGCAGAGAAAATAAAATAAAGAATAAAAATACAAGGGGTCCAAAATGTCAAAACTAGTCAGGGGCAGGTGGTGGCGGTCGACCGAATCTGAAGGATGGGTACTCTAACTGGTCCATCCGAATGAGCGTCCGAAGCCGAAGGGGAATGTCCTCAGGAAGAAGGGTGCGTCTCTGGGGTATAGAAGCCCCCGTGCTAGCAAAGAAATCAGCAGGCCGATTCCCCTCCCGGAATATGTGTGAGACCTGGTAATGGATCGAGCGGAGGGTGTCTCTGATACGCATAAGAGGATGCTGGATCTGCCATGGGCCCTGGTGGCCAGATGTCAAAAGTGTGATGATAGCCGCAGCATCCATCTCTATCCAGACATGAGAGGAGATCGAGGCGGCAATCTCGAGGCCAATCTGGAGCGCCTGAATCTCTGCATCATAACTCGAAGAGGCCCGGAGTGGCCCATGGAAGGCAGAGATGAGTGCCCCACCATGATCCCTAATCAGGCCCCCTCCTCCAGCAGCTCCGGTATGTCTGTCGAAAGCGCCATCAGTGTTTAGCTTAACCCAAGGGGCCTTGGGTTTCAGCCAAACAACGGTCCTGGGTCGTGGATGCTGGACAGGTAAAGGAGGAGGTGGCCTCAAACGATAGGGCGGTGTACACTCTGTCCAGTCTCTCGTCGTGAGTCTACCCAGGGCGGTGAGGAGAGAGAGGTGTCTGTCAACCTGCAAAATAATGTGAGCACAAGAAAATATAATATCCCTATGCTTCGCATTATTCCTATCTGTCCAGGTGGCCCATAAGATCAGACAAGGAATAAGGAAGCCCACGTGTCTACTGTGTGTGCGGTGTAAGAAGAAACTCAGGAGCTCAAAAAAACTGTCTGTAGTGGGTAGGGGTATATGAGTATATCTGGCATAGTGCTCCCACACTCTCCTCACAATCTCACTCTCAAGGAAAAGATGGGCGAAAGTCTCGATCTCAAAGGTATCGGTCTCAGTACAATAATGGCAGCGGGAGGGGAAGGAGAACCCTCTCGCCTGCATCACAGTGTCAATGGGAATCCGCCATAATAGGAGGCGCCACAAAAAGACGGAAATGGCCGGGGTGAGAAGGTCAGTCCATATGGCCCCGAAGAGGCGGTTTGGCCGGTTGCCCAGCCTCACTTCTCCCCAGGCTGATGACGTAGAGAATGCACCCGAAGATGTAAGTCTCCACCTCATGCCATCCAAACCTCCCTCCATAATGGGAATCTGTCGGATCTGGTCAATCTCTAGACTACTAAAACCCCCACCCTAACCAAGAATATCCTTCATCTTATCTCTATCCCAAAACCCTCCCGTCCAAAGGTCCTTCACCTGCATGAAAGGCAGGTGAGTGACAGGCCTAGTACTCGAGAGAGGGGCCTCGCCGAACCACCACTAATCCCAGAAGCTAACATCCCCAGAACCCAAGGTCCAAAAAATGTGCTTCTGAGCACGCCTACCAACAATGGTAAGACGTCTCCACTGTCGACTATCCCGAGCGGTGGTTGTCACCCTGCAGGGATGAGCAACACCACCAGGGCAATATTTCCTCAGGAGGTATTGGGCCCAAAGGGACTTGCCCTCCCTAAGGCGCCACCACATCCTGTAGGAAAATGAAGTAACCATATCAGAGAAACGCCGAATCCCGAGCCCACCCTCAGAGTGGGGACGACAGATGGAGTCCCACTTCACCCAGTGGGTCTGCCGCCGACCGCGCGCGCCCTCGCCATAGCTCCAAAAATAGCGGGCTAAGATCTGATCTAACTCATGAATCGTAGACTGGTGGGGGTCAAGAACCGAGAGAAGGTGAAGAGGAAGGGCACAAAGAGTGCTCTTGATCAGAGCAAGCCGGCCTCCGAAGGATAGGTGTCTATGTGACCAGCCAGAAATCCGGTCAATCATCCTCTGACGGACATCAATAAAAAGCTCATGGGAAAGATGGCCTTTGTACAAGGGGGCCCCAAGGTAAGGGATGGGTAAGTCCCCACGAGCAAAACCAGTACGCTCGTGAATCTGGTGAGCCCACTGGTCTGCAACGTGGTGGTCCATGATAAAGGAGCTCTTGCTAACACTGACTAGCTGGCCAGATGTCTCACTGTAGTGGTCCAAAAGACTCATGAGAGCAACTAGCCCATTATCATTCGCACGAGTGAAAATGATAATGTCATCCGCGTAAGAAAGGTGAGAAATGGAAGGCCCACAACCACGCATGCTGTAGGTCATCCTCGGGAAATCGCGAATGAAGCCATCAAGGCAGCGAGAGAGATAGTCAGCCACCAGAACAAAAAGGGAGGGGGATAAAGGGTCCCCTTGACGAAGGTCGCGGGTAGAGGGGAAAAAGGTCGTGGGGCTACCATTAATCAAAATGGAGAATGTGCAGCGTTCCACACACGCCTCCACAAAGCTAATCCAACGGTTAGGGAATCCCATCCGAGCCAGTACCTCTCTGAGAAACGACCACTCGACCCTATTATATGCTTTTGCCATGTCTAGCTTCAGCACGAGGTTCGGGGTTCGTGTTCGATTCGCATGAGAGATGTCATGTATCATCTCCTGAGCCAGTAGGATATTATCACTAATAGTTCGATCCTTGATGAATCCACTCTGATTCGGAGAGACAAGGTGGGGAAGGAGGGGGGCGAGACGACTGTTGAGGATTCTATAAATAATTTTGTTAGTCACGTTGCATAAGCTGATAGGTCTATAGTCAGACCAAGTGCTAGGTCCCGATCTCTTCGGGATAAAAATGATGGAGGTTGTCGTGAAGGACTCTGGCATCTGGTGACCAAAGAAAAAATCCCTCACAGCTTCCTCTACGTCAGTACCCACAATCTCCCAGCAAGACTGGAAGAAGAGGGACGAAAAACCATCCGATCGCGAGACGCTGTTGGGATCAATCCCAAACACAGCCTCCCTGACTTCCTCCTTACTCGGGAGGTCACAGAGGTCAACAAGGTCGACCGACTGCAGGATGGTCGGAAAGAGGGCCGGGTCAGGGTGCGTAAGCAACTCCCGCTCAAAGAAAAAGAGAGAGAGGAAGTAAGCCCTAGCCGACTCCCGTATTTGGGACTCCTGGGTCACGGATGACCCGTTATCCTCGACACTATGGATATACGACTTAACTCGCTTCTGCCTCACGAATCCCTGGAAGAACTTGGTATTACGCTCCCCCTCGGCCACCCAACGCACAACAGCCTTCTGCTTCCAGAAATCTTCCTCCATGAGGAGGCGCAACTGGTACTCAGCATGGCAGCGGCGCATCTCGGACCTATTCTCTGGCGAAGAATCCAAATCATAGGTCCGTTCCGCCTCCGCATATGCAGTCTGAGCTGCAGTAAGGCGCTGAGAAATGTCACCAAAAATCGTCCAATTCCACTGCTTCAAAACGCGGCGGAGTCTCTTGAGCTTCTCCTCCAGGTTGCGCATCCCATAGAGGTGCGTAGCCTGTTGCCAGGAGGCTCTAACTGTATCGTAGTAAGAATGGTGGCGGACCCACATGTTCTGGAAACGGAAGGACGCTCGCCGAGGGGAAATAGAGAACCGACAACGAATCAGAAGGGGGGCATGGTCCGATTCAATTCGGGGAAGGTGCGTCACAACCGTGGTCGCAAACACCCTCGTCCACGCCTCTGAGAAGAGAGCGCGGCCGAGCCTCTCCTTGACTCCGGCCCTCTCCCACGTAAAGGGAGCCCCTTCGTAACCAGCGTCGATGAGCTCACAATCCGATACGGCATGCGAGAAATCTAAGATCTCCGCAGAGCGGTCCGATATACCACCCATGCGTTCATCGGGATGCAAGAATATGTTGAAATCACCGCTAATCATCCACGGTAATCCCTCCATACTCTCAGCAATCTCACGCATGGTGTCCCAGAGGTCATAGCGACCAACCCTCGCACAGCTGGCGTAAACCAAAGTGTGGAAGATCGGCTCCGGAAGATGGGCGGCGGTGAGCTTCACGTGCAAGACTTGATCAGTATCTCGAAGGATCTGACAAGTAAAGTCACGCGAGTGGAAAAACCAAATCTTATTAGAGGTGTTTCCCATCCCGGCATGAAAACCGAGGCGCCGCGAATATACGTCAAAAGAAGGGTCACGAGTCATAGGCTCTAAGAAAGCCGAAAAGTCAAGGTTATGCTCACGTATGAGAGATCTAACATGAGCAAGGGTGGTCCTATTAGCCAGACCACGGGCATTCCATGTAAGCGATGTGACTGACATGTCAAATGTCAGTGAGACCGCCTAACTGGAGCTGTCCGTGGTTAGGCTGTGTCTGTATGTCTGATAGGGTCAGAGCTCGGCTAGCAGAGAGCTGCGCAGTCATCGATCTGGTCTGTGGTCTCCGGTGCTCTGGGGCCTCCTGTAAAAATCCCCCTCGTATAGGGGGAAACTCCTGGGGTAAGAGGATGAGCTGTAAAAATTCACCATTTTCATGTAAAAAATCCAATAAATTTTCATTATTGTTATTTAAAAAAAAAAAAAACTATCACACTTGCATCTCAATAAAATATTTAATAAAATAAGCCCAGGCCACAATATCTGCGGTCAACCACTCGCCGGGATCTGCAAGAAAGAAAATCGAGACGATGAGCTTATCTCTACTGCAAGGTTACTCCTCGGCTGAAGAAGACGATGAAGATAATGAAGACCAGCAGCAATTATCGCGAGATGAATTTTCCTCGGACGGTGATGAAGACGACAACGACGCCGTTTTGCAGACCGGTCGTTCATACAAACCCTTGCTCGACCCAAATCCGGCGTCTTCTTCCTCATTGCCATCCGCTTTTGAAGTCTTCTCCGAAGTATACTATTTATTTATTTATTTATTTTTTGCGCAATAATGCCGTTTTTTTTGTCTCACTCGAGTTCGAGGGTTTTTCATGTAAGTCGTAATGCATAGTTCTCTTTCGTTTTCCTAATTCTCTTTTTTTGTGGATGAATTATTGGAGGTTACGGGGCCGCCGCAGTTTCTGAACAACTCTGTTCAGGGAGATACTTCGAAAGAGAATGTGCAGCGGTGGAGGCACGGCCGTGGTAGAAGAAATCGCGAAGAAAAGAAAGATTTACCTTCAGGTATTTGTTTTTCGACCCTTTCGTTTTTCGGTTTGGGCAACTTTTAAAGGTTGGTCGAATATTCGTGTGGGACATTGTTTTGTTGCTGTGCTATTGTGGAGATGCATTGTATGAACTTGTCATGAGAAATTTACTCCTGTTGAAGTTGTGGGATTGTGGTTCTGTTTTTATCAAATGAAACATTGATGATAGTTATGGTGTGATTGATGAAAAGAGAATCTGTTTGCATGGTGTTGTTTTTGAAAACTTTTAAAGGATCTGTTCAAGTGGTAACTGTACATGCTTCTGCATTTGTATTTCCTCCCTGTGATCTAATTGAATGTGTTCAATTAAGCAGAAATTTATACTGTGTTTCATCTCCATAGAACGGCTATGTTTTACGTTGGCTCGCCAAGCCTATCACAACCCTCCTCCTTTACCAGGGCTTGGGACCTGCTATGTTGAGACATGAAACGGGCATTAGCATACTTCATTTGGGTTGTCACTCAACTTGTTTCATTTAGGATGTGGCACGATATTCTGAAAACAAAAAAAAAAAAAAGAGCATCCTTCTTGCTTTGTGCATGGCTGGCTTGTTGTTCAACGATCCTTTCTTAGAACAAGCGGTAGACCTGTCTTCATATGGGCATTACTTGTTAGAAGAAAAAAAAAAATGTCTAATAGTACTTGATTCATATCCTTTATTTTAGTATATATTATGTTCTATTCTCTAAATTGGTTAATATTGTAAACAAAAACATGAGCGTAACGATGTCATCTAAATGCAAACTTGTTGCTGGTTGCTTTGATTTTGGGGTTGTCAGACACTGATGTTGTTGTGTGTTTAATAGGTGTTGTCGTTGAGTCTAAGGCTCAGTTAGTCGGGATTTACGAGAGAGTGAGAACTGATGCCGAGAGCAACCTCACCGGAGGCCAATCGAGTGGTAGTAAAGCAGGCATTGCTGCACCAGGTGGGAAACGTGTGGCCACTGTTGGCAACCCAAATGCAGAAGATGCAGCTGAGCTGTTGAGGTTACTTACTGAGCTATTATCACATTAACACCCCCTGGGTTTTTTCTTTGGAAATGCTAATTCCCATCCCAACCAAAAACAAACATATAAAGAGAGGGAAATAAAGAAGGATATAGAAATACGACATTATTACTCGGTGGTTTTCAGCATTTGCATGAAATAATGGTTTCTGGATGTAATTAAATTCCAACATTACCTCCCGATATTTAGTGACCAAAGTGTAAAAGCATGATACTTGATAAATTTGTCTAATATATATGTACATGATGTTTCAGGATATGTGTGAGATGTGGAATTCCCAAAACTTATTCTCACGCAAAAGGAATGGTCTGCCCCATGTGTGGAGACCAACCAGCAGCGGACTCTGATAAAGATGCCTTGAAGAAGAAAGGGTCAACTGTCAAGGACAAGGAGAAAAATAAGAGGATGAAAGGCCAGTCGTCTCACGCCACATGGAAAAGCGAAACGGAGATGCAACTCAGACAGCAGTTTGATTAGTAAAAGAGAGTGGTGGTATCTGTCTTATGGGTATGAGTTGTTGTCCTTAATAGTGTAAAAGCTGAGGATATATGTTGCTGAACACAATGGAAACAAATTAGTGATTTTGGAAGAATGTATGCATTTTATCCCAGTCTCTCTCTCTCTCTCCCTCTCTCCCTCTCTCTCTCTCTCTCTCTCTCTCTCTCTCTCTAAATTCATAATAACAGTTTATTGCTACACTTGTGATAGATGAGGTGAATGGCAGTCTGACAGTAATGTGTCCTTGACAAATTATATAGTCCCCAAACTGCGTGTCTCAACATTTGAGATAAGATAATTGAACCCAACTCAGTGATCTTTGAATCTTGCTCTGATACGACTCTCCAAACTGCTCTCTTCCCTTTTCTGAATTTGAAGATGACTTCATTGTCGCCCACTCGTCCCAAACTATCGTAAAAAACAAATCATCGCTCCCCCCCGCCCCCCAGACTTATATCAACTCTTCCCGGAAAAAACACCGGATAAGGCACAGTACGAGGAATAGGAAAAAACCGAACACTATGGACTTGTAGGAGATTTGACCTTCCCCACTTATTTGACTCCCAAACCTCGGTTCGTTTATAATAAAATGTGTGAGTTTAAAAAAAAAAAAAACTAACACAAAAAGGAATACATGAAGTATTCCTTGTTTATGTAATATACATCACATACAAAATTTGCAATTCAAACTATAAGCAGACCATAGTAATGTTCTTAAAATTTTCATTAGTAATTATACAGAAAACTGCATGTGAGGAGTCTTGATGTTTATTTCCATACTTTTTTACCAAGAAAATGAGCATATATAATTTCTTTCTCTTAGTCGATGTTCATGAAACTGCAGTGCTTGTAAAATGTAAACTCTTAGTTAGCTCACACATTAACTTCTCTTCAACTACATTGGCAATCTGGCACATCATGCAACAGTAAATATATTGTTGTCAACCGTGATATATATAATCTGGGTTCTGAAGGTTCACGACGAGGCATGAATGGTCTAAACATGCGTAGCCGAAAATGACGATCAGGCACGAGTGGTCTAAAAACACACACCCTTTAAAGCAACAAAACGCAGGAAGTGGAGAAAACCAAATGGAATAGCTGCTGATCACAGACAGATTCACACTTACAAACAAAATAACAAATAAAACAAACAAACAAGCGCACACGTGCGACCCGATCTATTATTTCCTGCACCTAATAAACAAGATGAAGAAATTCCTAAATACGCAAAATTGACGAAAGTTGTCGTAACTCCAGAAAAAAACTTTAGAGGTGTCTCTGTAATGACAATGACTGGGGCTACACTTAGAAAAACTTTGTTACAACATGAATACTGAATATTTTTGCACATCATGCAACAGTAATATATGAATCAAGAAAAGTAAAAGCAAATAATAATAATAATAATAATAATAATAATAATAATTAGAAACAAACAAACTAATCATTACTATTATTATTAATGGTACCATTAAGCAAAACACAAAATTAATTCATATCATGTGCAGAAAATGATGAAATATGACCCTGATAAATTAATAATGTTGGAACTGGAAATGGTTGGTTGGGAAACCTAACAAGGCAAGAATGGAGTGAGCCACTTTGGTCCACAAGTTACTTTGGTGCTCTGCACGTCAGTAGGGTAAAAACAGGGTGAGGGACAAAAGTCCTTCAGTTTGTAATCGAAGATACCAACATCATGGCCACCACACATGAGGTTGATATGTATCCACTGTGGCGGCTCCGTGTAATAAACGGAGTCTGGCTTCAGTCCAGGGTGCTCGGCAGCCGGGAGTGCAAACCCATTGTTGGTACCAACAAAGAATGCTAGGCCGTCTAGGGAGCCATCCATGTAAACCAGGGAGCCTGTCTCCGGGTCGTACTTGTGAACATCAAAACCCATGGAGACATAGGGAGGAGGATCCTTAAGCATGCCCACCTTGGGGCCGTAGTAGGAATCTACGGCGTAGTAATTCTTAGGACCCATCCAATCCTTCACGAACCGCCTCACATGAAAAAGCTGTCCCGACGCCTCTGCAACTACTAGGAATTGGTAATCACGGCACGAATACCTTTTGTACCTGTATTCCTCGTTGCAGCTGTGGGCTACGGGGTAACACTTTTTGTCCACACCAACGGGCATGGGAATCATGGCCGGGGAAATTGGGTCCTGAAGATCCCATGCCTCCAGATGAGGATAAAGCTCATCATCATCATCATCATCATCATCATCATTTTCTTCATCGTCATCCTCCTCCTCCTCCTCCTCCTCCTCCTCCTCCTCACCATCACCATCTTCCTCATCATCTTCCGCACCACCATCACCATCTTCCTCATTATCATCACCATCTTCCTCATCATCATCACCATCATCATAACTACTACTTTTGCTAGCAAAACAAAAGAAGCGCTTTTGTGAAGTGGAGTAGGCAACCGACGTGTAGCCGGTGCGCTTGCCGAGTTGCATCCACTCGGCCATCGTGCGGCTGTTGGGGCAGCAGAAGGCCAAACTGTTTTCATAGCCGAGAATAGCTACAGCGCGACAGCTGTCGTCCTCATCGGGATGGGGCCCGGAGAGGACGAGGCTTGTGACAGCGGAGGAATATTCGGGAAGGGGCGGAAGGTTTATGCGGCGTTGAGTGAGTGGATTATAGAGGAAGAGGCCGCCGCCACTCTTGGAATGGTCAAACATGGATAGCCAGCCGTGTGACGAACCTACAATCGACAAATCAGAGACAGATGATGGTGGTATTATCTCTTCTTCGTCACTCCTGGTAATCACTTGGTTCTCGGCCAGCTTGTAAAATCGAAAAACAAGATTCTTTTTGTTATTATTATTTTCGAGGGCTGGTGGTAGCATGAGCAATGGCGGCGGCGCCGCCTTTGGGTTACTACTGCTGCTACAAGTAGCAGTCACCGGAGCACAATATGTACGACGCAACAGATTCAGATGATGATGGCGTGATGGAGTCCGCCGGTTGATAAACGACAAAGTTTTGGTGGTGGTGGTGGCTGCGGCGGCGGCGGTAGGAGAACAAAGGGCTGCACGTACGGAGAAAGCCATTAGAAAGGCGATTAAGATTAATTTGACTGTCTAATGAAAAAAAAAAAAAAACTCATTGAATATTATATGTATATGTAGACTCTCGCGATCTCTAGAAGTCCAATGAAAGCATGACGTCAAACAATATTTGGATATTTAAATAAATATTTTAATCTATTAATATGGATTAACATAATTTAATTTTAAAAACACTTACCTGCCAATTTTATTAATTTACTTTTAGAAACACTTTTCCGCCAATTTCACTAATTATTATCTAAAAAATAGTAAATTGACAAAAATTAATGTAATTAATTTACATAATCTTTTTAGTCAAATATTTATGGTTATTACTTTTATTAGTTGAATGTAAATTTAAGATGATTTAGTTTTATGGAAACAGATATGAGGTATTATAGAAACTTTCAAAATTCTCTAAATATATAGACTTGATTGAGCAATTATAAAGAATTAATCATTAATCTTTATATCTATATTACATTTCATGTATTGAGTAAAACATAATAAATTACTTATGTTATTTTTCATACATCTTTTTGTTGGCATAGTAGAGTTGCAAGATTATCTTTTTCTTCGTAGACAAGATAACCAAATACAAAAATATAAATAACATTTATGTGCCGCTATGAAACATAATATCTAGAAAATTATCAGCGTGCACAATGTGATCAAACATAATATTGTCAATTGGCAAAAATAAAATATAAATAATAAAAAAAAATAAATTAATAATTAGAAATCTTTAAAAAAATATTCCATAATATTTGATTAAACACTAAATCCGGCTATTTTGAATCACTTATATTTAAAAGCACTATTATTATGGAACCAAACGTTATGAATATCTTTTTAAAAACAGTATAATTATGATATCAAGATATTGAACCACGATTCAATCTTTTTAATTCAATCCATATCTCTTTTTAGACTTATCAATTTATTTTAATATAATATAAATTTACCGTAAAAATGAGAGTTGGACTTTACAATAATCACGATATCAATCAATATTAATAATATAAATGCTAAATGAAAAAAATTATTTGGATAAATAAAAATAATTATTTAGACTGTACACTTTATTATATACATATAAACAAATCGCCTATTTGAACTTTAAATATTAAATTTTTTTCATATATAGTTATGCAATATATGTAACTAAACTAAAAGTAAAAAATAGGAGTTTTATCAATACAAGGTCTGAAAGATGGGTAAACTATCAATGCGGGGCCTGAAAGATTTTTTTCTCAATTCGGGACCTAAATGTTATAAAACTATCAAATTAAAGACCCGAAAGATGGGTAAACTATCAATGCGGGGCCTGGAAGATTTTTTTTCTCAATTCAGGACTTAAATGTTATAAAACTATCAAATTAAGTTCAGAATTAACAAAACTCAAAACACCATTAAATTTAGAGTTAAAATAAAAAAAAAAGATTGGTGATTAAAACTTTTTTAAAAAAAAATAATATTTGATTATTAGATTTTATTTCATATTCATTCACATTTTTAAAAACTATTAATGCATATGAATGAAATTCAATAAGATAATAGTCAATTTAAATATAAAAATCATATTATTTAATATAATTATTTTTTTATTCTTTTTAACAACAAACACAAATATTTATGAGGATAATAATATTATAAACACTCAAGAGTACGAATGGTTATAAATTATGTAAAAATGTTTGAATGAAAAAGTGAGTTAAAAACTAGAAAAATTGATGGAAGAATGAAAAATTTTAAAAAATGTGAATGAATATGAAAATAAAATATAAAAATTAAATATTATTTTTTTTAAACTCTAGATTTAATTGTGTTATGCGTTTTTTTAATTCTATACTTAATTTGATAGTTTTATAACATTTAAGTCCCGAATTGAGAAAAATAATCTTTCAGGCCCCGT